CCAACAGATCCGCCACACACTCAGATCCTCCACCAACAATAGATCGCCACCAACAAAAAAAACCCCATAAACTACCTCCACCACCAACCACAGATCCACAATCAGTGTAAAACCCCCAAATCCAAATCCAAATCCAAATCCAAATCCAAAACCACCACCATCACCAACACTGCCTCCGCCATCACTAACCAACAATTCAGTGTAAACTATTGAACTCAGAGCAGAGCGAAAATTTGGATCTAAGTCGGAATCGTTCCTCACTTTCTCTATACGCTTTCTCGAGTCTAACTCTTCTAGTGCAGAAGAGATAATCATCTGGGCTTCTGATATTTGTCCCTTGGCTTCAGACAAGCCATTCCAAAATTTTCATGAAACTGGTAATATTCAGTAGTTCAGCACGTCGACGCGACGCTGCTGCACGTCGCAGCAGCGTACCCACAGCAGCGTGAGACGCTGCTGCGACGTGCAGCAGCGTCGCTGCTGTGACCAAGTAGCAGCAGCGCCGCTACTGCGAATCGCAGCAGTGTCGCTGTGACGCTGCTGTGATTCGCAGCTGGGGGAGGGTAAGGTGAGGGAAGGGAGAGGGAGAGAGAGGGGGAGGAGGAGAAATGGCAGTGAAGGGAAAGGGGATAGAAAATTGAACGGTAGGGAGGGGAGGAGAGAAATAGGGTTTGGGAATTGGGGGTGGGTATATTTAATTTAATTTAAAATATTATTATTAATATTAGTCGTGAAATTAAAATCTGATTTTTAATTAAATAAACTATAAACCTGATTTTCAAAAACATCAAACTAAACACCTGGTTTAGTCTAATTTTCCCGGTGGCAGAACAGAAGGAGCTTATTGGGCTCAAATAGTTTGGCCACACAAATTGGTGAAGAAAAACAGCACCCTATAGGCAACAACAGAGGCCTGCTAAACCAGCTTGCGTTTTTCTAAATTTATGAAAGTTCCTTTTTTCTTTTTCTTTTTGGTTAACTAATATCAAAATAAGTAATTTTATTAGTATTATGTTCTTTTATAATTAGAATTTAGTTATTTATTTATAAGTGATAGTACTTTTTTTATACTACCTTTGTTCCATAAAAATGGCCATGTTTTCCATTTTCATCAGTTCCAAATTATAGTCTTATTGTAGTTAATATATTAATTTTCTAATACATTATTATTTAATGTACTTTGTTATCATAAATATAAATCATTTCATTATTCAATTGCAGTTGGAACAATAGATTAAAAATCAAAAACTTTCATCTTCCATAACATTTGTTCATTTGTATTTGGAGTGTAAAAACAAGTCCACGTTTTGATAAAATTGTTCACATTTTGACACTTTTTTATTGCATTCTTGTTAGATGACTTTACAATATTAATTACTTTGATTATTACATTAAACAATGATTAGTACCAAGAATAATAGAATTACCTTGAACATTGCATTGCATAATTTATGACCACAGAACTGGTGAAAAACTCGACAAATCGAATGATTAACAAGGAACCAGTTTTAACGAATTTTCCGATTCTTTTGACAAAAAAATAGTAGTGGTGGAATGGGTATCTCACTTCTCTTATTTACCCAATGCTCATAGATTGCTGAAAGTCCAAAACAAAAATGCAAAAAGTAGTGCCAAAAAGAAAAAAAGGAAAAAAGGTTGCATTGTAGAAAGTTCAAAGATAATAGTGGAGCAACAACGGCGCCTCGTCTATATGGAGCAACAAATGGCAGCCTCGTCAACAATGGAGCAAGAGAAGCGGCTGGTTACTAAGGATATGATAGTGGAAAGTCATATTTGTATATAGGGACTTGGGCTTAAATTTAAATTTGTGATAAATACATAAAACCAGCTGTTTACTTTTACGTTTATAAAAATCAAGTTTTAGCTTTATTTAATAAAAAATTAGGTTTTATCTTTTTTAATTAATAATGGTATTATAAAATTAAAATACCCACCCTACTACCTACCCCACCAACTTTATTTTAAATATAAAATCCTAAATCTATCCAAACCTAATCCATTTCATCTCTGTTGGTCTCACCATTTCTCCCATCCGGCGCCTCCACCGCCGCCCGCTGCCTCCTCCCTCCCCCTCTCCCCCTTTCTTCCCTCCCCCTCCCTCTGCTGCTTCGCTGCAGTGACGCTGCTGCACGTCGCAGTAGCTTCTTGTCTTCTGCGAATCACAGCAGCAGCGAATTCGCAGCAGAGACGCTGCTGCGAATCGCTGTTGCTGCAACCCCATAGCAGTGACGCTGTTGCGGATGTGGTTGGCGGTGGAGGTGTTGTGGGTCTTCGATGTGGTTGAAGTCTTCGATGCGGTTGTGTGGTGTTGTGGCGAGGTCGACGACGGTGGTGGTGTTTTCTTGGTATGGTGGTGCGGGCGGCGTTGGGAATTTGTTTTTTGTTATTATTATGGTGGTGGTTGGGGTGGTATTGTGATAGTCTGACGATGGTGGTGCTGTTCTGGCGGAGACGGTAGTGGTTGTTGGTGGTGTTATTGTTTGTGGGTGTTTTAAGGATTAGGGTCGGCGGCGGATGGGACGAAGTGTCTGTAACCATCTATTTGTCGGTTTGTGACCTGTGACGGATGGGACGAAGTGTCTGTGACCTGTGACCCAGTATTGTTAGTGTATTGGGATTGGGGGACGGGTGCGGCGGATGGGACGAAGTGTTTGTGACCATCTATTTGGTCAATCTGTGACCTGTGACCAAGTATTGGTGGTGCACTGGATAGGAGACGGGTGTTCGAGTGTGTGTGACCATCTATATGGTAAATGTGACCTTAAAATTCGTTACTCTGTCACTGAAAATATAACCATGTGTTCGAAATAATCCGTGACTAATTAATTTGATAAGTTTTGATTGAAAATTAAAATTTTAACTAATTAATAAGATGTCTGGAATCAAATTGCATATAACTGTGATCTTAATAATTGTCGGAATTGGAGCAGTCGCCGAAATTAAGCGGTCACCAAAGTAGTCGCCGGAATTAAACGCGGCCGGAGATTAGTCGCCGGAGTAATCGTCGGTCGCCGGAGCAGTGGGGGTGGTGGGGGTTAATTATATTATGTTACTGTTAAATATTTAATTTTATTGATTAATTGTAAAATATAATTAATTAATTCATGGAAAAACCTGAGTTTTGTAAATTTAAACCTTGAGGCCTGAATTTTGATTTCATGAAAGATAATCCCTGACCTTTGAATTTTTCCCCTTAAATTTTGCTTTACAATTTACGTAAGGAAAATTTCATTAATAAGACACAAAGTATGATTTATTTTAAATCTAAGAATTAAGGTTTGCATTTTCAAAAATCAGATATTAATTTAAACTTTATTTATTAAATAAGTAATTAAATAATATTTTATTAATTAAATATATTAGGGTCACAATATGTAATAATTTATTATCACAGTTATATATTAGTCACAATTACAGACGCCACAGGCAAACAACAAATTTTATAGATCACAATTTATTTCTCGATCACAAATTAAATAAACTAATTGGTCACATATTATTTTTTTTTATCACAAATCAAAACTTTTATGAGACAACTTATTTCATGATCAGAAAATATCAAATTAATTGGTTACACCTTAATAAGTTTTTGAATAATGCTATTCATCCCCATCGTGGTTAGAAACACAGTTTAAATAGCGTTAATGTGGCATTAAATGATATGTGAAATTAAATAAATCATTTATTTTCACATTTCATTTAACCTAACATTTAGAATCACATAGACTGTGTTTGTAACCCTACTGGAGATGAATAACATTACTCTAAGTTTTTAGGTCACACATTATTTATTGGTCATAATTTATCTATTTTATTGATCACATATTGTTTATTAATCACTCACCAACCAATTTATTGGTTACAATCAAGAAAACAATTTTTAACCATCACCCCCTGACCATTGCTTCCAATAGC